CTGTTGTTGGGTAGAGTGTGCTATAGATGTCCTTTAGGTCTGTTTGGTTTATATGTTGTTCAAGTTTGCTGTTTTCTTGTTAAACTTCTGTCTGATTGCTCTTTTCATTGTTGAATGTGAAGTATTGACATTTCCAGCTAATATGTTGTAGAGTTTCTCATTCTCATGCTGTATTTAGTCAAGGTTCTCCAGAGAAACAGCAGCAACAGGATGTCTATGATGGATGGATGCATGGATGAGATATATATATATATATTTTTTTTAATTTCCCCTCTTTAATCTTTATGTCTTTTCTTTTTCTTCCCTTCTTACACCATCTAAGGTTTCCAAAATAATATCAAATAGAAGTGGTAATAGAGGACATCCTGTCTTGTCTGTCATCCAAAGAAGAAAACTTTTTATGATTCAGCATTAAGTATGATGTGTGTGTGTGTGTGTGTGTATATATATATATATATATATATAGAGAGAGAGAGAGAGAGAGAGAGAGAGAAGATATACAGATAATCAGGTATATAGTTATTCAGATATACAGATATATAACTATGTAGATATAGATATGGATTGAGGAAGAGAGGGAGAGAAATTTTAAAGAATTGGCTTATGCCTGGTGGGTGTGGCTCAGTGGTTGGGCATCGACCTATGCACCAGAAGATCACCAATTCAATTCCCGGTCAGGCACATGCCCAGGTTGTGGGCCCAATCCCCAGTGGGGGGCGTGCAGGAGGCAGCCAGTGTTCTCGCTCATCGTTGTTTCTATCTCTCACTCCCTCTCCTTTCCTCTCTAAAATAAATAAAGAAAAAAATAAATTAAAAACCAACAACAAAAAAAGAATTAACAGCTGTAAGAGCCCTGGAGAATCCAGAATCTGATGGCACAGGCTGGCAGGCCAGCCATCCAGGAGAGAGTTGCAGCTTGGACCCAAAGACAGTCTGCTGGCAGAATTTCTTCAGGGGCAGTTAGTCTTTGCTCGGTTCAGGCTTTCAGCTGACTGGCTGAGCCCACCCACGTTCTGGAGGGCAATCTGCTTTACTCAGCGTCCACTGACACCAGTGTTAGCTTCACCCGTAGCAGCCTCACAGAAACATCCAGAGTAATGTTTGATCAGATAGCTGGGTACAGCGGCTGAGCCCAGTTGACATAAAATTAACCATCACACATGCTTTTTCACACTCAGCATCCAGCAGTTTGTCAGAATTACAATTTAACTGTTCTTTAAGTGGTCTTCACTTTAGACTTTATTTAATGTATAGAATTAGAAAAACCTGAGTTTCAAGCCTACTGTGCAACTTCTTATCCTTGTGACTTTGAACAATTTACCTAATTTTTTCCATGTTATTTGTTAGGAAATTAAAGCCATTATACTTAAGTGATTTGTCCAGGGTAATAATGCAAATTAGAACTAGTGGTCATATTCTATTTAAATTCTTGATCTTGTACACAATTCACTATAAGTGATGTTTTGAATTTTACAGCAATAAAACACATATTATAGGTATTTTAACTATATATGAGAATTTTATTTGAGAATTAATTAACAGGTGTATGTTTTATTTAAATACTATGGAACTAGTGAGATAGCTACCTTTTAGTTCTGACTTGGTCTTAGACTATTTAACCACTTTTGTCCGAAATTTTTTTTTTTTTTTATCCTTACCTGAGGACATTTTTTCATTTTTTGTTCAGACAGAGTGGGAGGGAGAGAGAGAAAGAGAGAGAAACATCGATGTGAAAGGGACACATCGAGTGGCTGCCACCCGCACGACCAACCAGGAACCAGGGCCGGGGACAAACTGCAACCGAGGTACGCGCCCTTAGCGGGAACCGAACCCAGGTCTCTCTGGACCACAGGCCGACGCTCTAACCACTGAGCCAAACCGGCCAGGGCTTGTCCGAAATTTTCAAGTTTGCAAGCATGAGTGGATATATTTTATTTATTTCAGGGATATTCTAAGTATGATATCAGTTCATGTGCAAGATGGTGTTCGTTGATAAACGGAATCCTAAGGGAACATTTAACTCTGCCAGCTGCAGGGAAGGGGAGCCCCAGCTGCCTCTGACCGTTCATTTTACTCAGGACTTTTGCTGAAAGAAAAATATCTATCTTTTCATTGAAATTCTGAAAAGTGTCTTCTGGACTTCATTGTTTCAGGATACCCTCATAAAAATAACTCACTCAACAGATATTAGCTGAAAGAGTTTGAGCCTAATTTTCATATAGGACAATGATATAATGTCTTGGGATAGTGGTTTGGAGTTCATAGTCCAGTTTATTTTTATTCTAGGAGGCAGTATAATGTATGTCGAGTTAGATCTGGATTTGAATTCCAGCTCTGACACTTAATAATTTGTACCTTTGGGCAAGTTATTTCATTTTTCTGAGTTTCAGTATCTTTGATATGGTTATTGAAGGCTTAACTGATATTCATATATAAAAAAAAGACCTCAGTCCTAGATACCTTAAAAGTACTTAATAAATATTGGTGCTGTCCATTTTTTTCCGTATTTACATGCGGGCAAATGGGAATGTTGATAAGGAATGTATTTTCCGGCACTGACAAGAATGATACATGTTTGTTTGATCCATAATCAGTAGCTTGTAATAAGATGTAATGTTGGTTGCCTCTTTGTTTTAATATAATCTGACCTTTTAAAAAAGGGCTATATAGGACTCTTAAAAGAGATGTGTGTTGAATATGTATACTATTACAAAATAGAGTCATAAACTTTGATGGAAATAACTGTGAAGGTCATCTAGTCCTTTTTGTCACGTCGTTTTTGTTTCTCAGGGCTGAATTCCCCTCTGTGAAATCCTTGATCTAAATGGGTATCAGACTTGGCTGGTGTGGCTCAGTGGTTGAGCGTTGGCTGGTGTGGCTCAGTGGTTGCATGTACCAAGAGGTCGCCGGTTCGATTCCTGGTTAGGGCACATGCCCAGGTTGTGGGCCCAGTCTCCCCAATTGCCAGTGGGGCCATGCAGGAGGCAGCCAGTTGATATTCTCTCTCATCGATGTTTCTCTCTCTCTTCCTCTCCCTTCCTCTCTCTCTAAAATCAATAAAGATAAATAAATAAATAAATAAATAAATAAATAAGTATCAATACTCGGTATGAATAGTTTTAGTGATTGTGATATTACTCCCTCTTAAGACAGCTGTTCTAATTTTAGAATGCTTCATAAATTAGACAGTTTTTTTCTTATTTTGTCATTTATTATGTCTCAAATAATTCTACCCTTTAGTCCGTTCTGTCTGTAGAGCTGCATAGACTAAGCAAGCCGTACTCCATGTGTGTGCAGTAACCATGTCTTAGTCATCCCTCTGTCCTCAGAGCCTGGGATAGTAACTACCCATCTCAAAATAGGGTCGTATAATGGACAGTTTAGGCTCAGATTTTTACAAAGGTACTTTTGTATGTTTTTCATATATAAACTTTTAAGATTTAGTCAACTTTTTTTTATTACAATGTCAAACATTATTTTTTCAACTGTGTTGACTAAATTAAACAAGGAATATTGATTTATGTTTATATCTGATATCACATATATTCTAGAAATTAATAACTTTGCCCAGGGATAGAATTGTTAAATTTAATATTATTTATATCTGTTTCATTTAGTTCTTCTTGCAATATAATATTTCTTAAGATTGAAAACATAACTTTTCTTTTGATGTCTTACACTTTTTTTTGTAGTGTCCTTTGTGTTCATTACAGCCAGTTTCATTTTCTGTGATGTTAATGGAGTAAATGTTTCACTTTATTGATTTATCAGACTGGACAAAAATAAGTAACATCTAGCTATATGCTATTTAAAAAAACAGATCTAAAACATAATAAGGAAAGGTTAAAAATAAACAGACAAATATATACCATCTAAGCACTAACCAAAAGAAAGCCATGTGGCTATATTAATAGTAAACCAAAAATAAGGGGGGAGGGGGTAAGAATTAACAGAACTAAGTAGAGTTACTTCATAATGATGAAGGTTTCAGTTTACCTAGAAGCTTTAATAACTCTAAGTACATATTCACATTTTCTGTTATTGTTTAACTTGCTCTCTTGTTTACATTTTTAACTGAATGCTCTCTTCTCAATTTCATGCTATCAGCAAATTTTAAAAATTATTTTCTTCATAATCTTTCAAGCTGATTTCTTATATAAAGTGAATTCCTTATTAACAATAATCTTTATAGCAGTTTATGTGTGCTTACTAGTTACTTTTGTTATCAGTTTTCTCTATTTTTGTTCTATTTTGACTAAGTAATAAGGGTATTGGCCAGTAGGTGAGAAAGATATTGGATACTAAATTATATAAATACCATACATTAAGTTATGTTACTATAAATGGTGTAGTTTACAGAGCTGTCTTGTATTTCTTATGTTCTTGAATTTCTGTTAGAAGAATAATCTACCGATAGAAGGAAGAGTAGCCATGTATTTTAATTCCATATAACAATGTATAAGATATTACTACACATCTTATTACATATCTTTATACACAGTATCCATTCCCTTCCATTTGTTGATTCAAGAAACATCGCCCTGGCCGGTTTGGCTCAGCGGTTGGAGCGTTGGCCTGCGGTACAGAGAGACCCGGGTTCGGTTCCCGCTAAGGGCACGTACCTCGGTTGCAGTTTGTCCCCGGCCCTGGTTGGTCGTGTGGGTGGCAGCAACTCGATGTGTCCCTTCACATCGATGTTTCTCTCTCTCTCTCTCTTCCTCTCTCTCCCTCCCGCTCTATCCTCGGGTGAGGATAAAAAAAAAGAAACATCTACTGGGTGTCCAGTCTTTGATAAGCAGTATTATCAAAAATATAAGAAAACTGTATTAGTCTTACTGAACACAATAATAAATTTGACTTACCCTTTTGTTTCTTTCCTAAAGACATCCAAACATTTAATTCAATTTCTTATGATGGGGGAGTAGGGGAGCATTTCCCAAAGGGACACAAGTGTCATTTTAATTATAAAATAAATTAATGAAAATCTTTATATTTTTCAGGATGAGAGAGACCCAGAGAAAGAAGATGAACTGGAAATGAAAAGAGGTCTTTTATACAGAGACTATGCCTATGACAGTGACCCCGAGTATTGGTAGGAACTTGGTTAATTCTTTGTATACAGATCTTTCTCATAATTGATACAAAAATAACCTGCCTCTTAATCATCTAGATTTGTGGGGAATTTAGACTCAAATTAGCAATTATTATTTTTTATATAAAAACAATTTTTTTGTTATTCATCCAAGGATATTTTTTCCATTGATTTTATTTTATTTCATTTTTTAAGAGAGAGTGGAAGGGAGGGCAGGAGAGAGAGAGAGAGAGAAACATTGATGTGAAAGAGGCACATTGATTGGTTGCCTCCCACACGCACCCCAGCCAGTGCCAGGGATCGAACCCATGACTCCTCGATGCATGGGCCGTTGCGGTAACCACTGAGCAACACCTGCCAGAGCTTAAAATATTTATGTAAAATCCTATTAAGATATTTTAATGTTCCATTAAAGAAGATTTTTCAATGAAAACAAATATAGTCAAATAATGGTGATGTTTTCAATCTACTTAAGATTTTTAGTCTGTTTGGCTCCCTGCAAATCCACCTATCCGGGCTTATTTCAGGCTTTATTACATATTCATGCTGTCTGTCCTGTGTCTGCCACACTGAGTATGAAATTAATTAGGAAGCAATCTCTTACCAAGGGGTTATTAAGTGACCTTTAATACTTTGGTATTTGGGAGCTGGCTTGGGGAAAGAATCTACTACCCCTGTAGACTTCCTTCTCCGTTTCCTACATGCCTTCTCATGCCTTCTATGCCTTCTCATGCCTTCTATGCCTTCTCATGCCTTCTCATGCCTTCTCATGCCTTCTATGCCTTCTCATGCCTCTCTTTACAAAAATGTGGACATTTGCTGTTGTAGTCTTGCCAGTTCTCAGGACCCTGGGATGCTCTTTCTTCCTTTCAGCACCTCCTGTGTGTGTCTCAGATTTCTTCAGTCTCCTGTCGTCACTCTCCTACTTGAGCATTAGTCCTAATTACAGAGCAGGCATCAGTATTGCTTCAGTAGATGGGAGTTGGCCACAAAATGAGATAAGTGAGGATAAAATAGTTTGAAGTTCATGTTTAGAATATGAGTCGGCCTTGGAGTAATTTAAATTTGGGCTGTATATTTTTAAATAGCACAGGATTGAGTATAATTTTCAACTTTTCTCCATTGATCACTCTCTGATTAATTTGATGAATTTACTAAGATGTAATAAATAGCCAAAAAACTATCTTTAGTATTAACAAATGGGAGAACTAATCTAAATCGTACATAGACTTAAAATCTCTTGAATAATTAAGAATAAGCCTTCATTTTTAAGTGAGAAAATGTTGCTCGATTTTAATTTTAATTCATTGGAGCTTGTATAATTAACTCAAGTATCATAAAGTCCTTTTTAATTAAGTATTTAAGATTTAGTTTTTAAAAGATTTTTGTCCAGAAGGTATATCGATATTCAGAAAATTTGGGCTGCTGCATATTTAAGTGATTTTTTTTCAAAGTAAAAATTGTAGTTTAGGGGTCTAGCAAAGTTTCTGGTGATTAGAAAAGGGAAGTGTTGTATTCATCTTTACTTTTTAAATGTATATTCCTCTATTTAATATCACAAACTCATAACACATACAAAAAAAAAAAAAGTCACTCAAGTAAAAAGGCCCTGTCACAACGGATAGACAGGAAGCATCTATACTGAATCAAATAAACCTCCCGCTTTAAAACAGTTCGTGCCCGACCTGTGTGGCTCAGTGGCTGAGTGCTGACCCATGCACCAAGAGGTTGCTCGTTCGATTCCCAGTCAGGGCACAGGCCCAGGTTGTAGGCCCGATTCCCAGTGGGGGGCATGCAGGAGGTGGCCAGTTGATGTTCTCTCTCATTGATGTTTCCATCTCTCTTTCCCTCTCCCTTCCTCTCTCTCTCAAATCAATAAAGAAAACTAAAAATAAATAAAACAGGTTTTGCTAGCTCCATCAGGAATTTGAGCAAGGCTGTTGCAAAAAAGAATAGTAGTAGTAACAGAAAAGAAAAAAAATTCCCTGCACTGAAGCAGTGCATCCGTGGATTATCTTTAAAAACAAAAATATGGCTCTGGCCAGTTTGGCTCAGTGGTTAGAGTGTTGGCCTGCGAACCGATGGGTTTCGGGTTCGATTCTAGTCAGGGGCATGTACCTCAGTTGTGGCTCATCCCCGGCCCCGGTTGGGATCGTGCGGGAGGCAACTAGTCGATGTGTCTCTCTCATGTCAATGTTTCTCTCTCCCTCCTTCCCAGTCTACCTCATCATAAATGTAAAAATATCCTTGGGTGAGGATTAAAAAAAAAAAACAGAAATATGCCTTGGTAATTAGATTAGCTTACTTAATATTGATGCCTGGTATCCGAAGAGTATCAGGACATGGCCAGTGTGCAACTTGAAGCCCTGTAAAGAACACGAGTAGGCAACCAGAATGGTCTTACGGTTTTATGACATTCTCATAAATAAGCAGGCAATTATGGTCTTGATTCGATATTCTTAGGTAGGTAGACTGCTAACTAGATGATGACATAGGACAGATTATTAGCAGCAACCTGAAGTTAGCTTTGAAAGCCATAATAAATAGTATTTCATGATACTAAGCTCAAACTGCAATTGCTTTAGTGATAACTGCTTTTAGGAATAAAAAATATGTTGTTTTTATTTATTTATGAAACTACTCTGAAGTATTCTGGCTATTCTCCATATTATGTCAGTTTTATGGCTAGTATTTATTTGTTGTTATTGTTGTTTTGTTCTTTTACTGAAAGAATGGGAGGGAATTCAGGATAGGATAATAAAAACAAATGGGATGTTTGTTCTCTATGGCCATGATAATGATAATGAGTTTAACCTGCATCGGTGAAACCAAAGAGACAACTTAAAATACAAATTTAAAATACTGTATTTGAGTGTTCATGTAAAGACAACTTGTCCTTTTTACCTAGATATACACTAAAAATAAAATTTAGGTTAAGGAGACTGTAACCTTTTAAAAAATTTTTTAAATTGAATTACTTGGGGAGACATTAGTAAAATTATATAGATTTCAGGCATACAATTTTATAATATATCATCTGTATATTGTATCTTGATTCAGCCTTCCATCACAGTAGAAATTCTTCTGTGTTCTCCCATTGTAAGATCCCTATTCCCTTTAGAATAAAATTCTCTGACTCTTAGCAGTTAAATCTTACTTTATTCGTACCTCTGCAGATACATCTGGTATTATCATGACAATCTAGACTGTTTTGTACCTTGGTTCTATTACAATATGATACCTGGAATAACCCATGTCTTCTTGTTCATCTAGTGAATGCCTACTCATTCTTTTGGACTAAGTTCTAGTTACTCCTTCCTCTTAGATACCTTTTATGACCTCGACAGACTATTAGGCATTTTCTCCTTTATCCTGCGACTTCCTCTCATATGTATAATTTCAATAGCAGAATGTATTTCACAGTGATAACTATTTTATTATATGTCTGTCTTGCCTCCTCCTGTTAACTGTGAGCTCCTTGAAGGCACAGATGTTTTACTCATCTTTGTTTTTTGACTGCCCATCAAGGTCTCTGAATTGTACTAGGAGTTCAATTTTTTTTTTAAAAGTTCAAATGTTATAATTAGGTCCTTTATTAATAATGATCAATTGTATTGCTGCAACTCTAAGGCATTACTTAAGTAAATTCATTTTATGATCGTGATATTTAATAACATTTCTAGATAAGGAATCAACAATGGCATTAATAATGAAAGGTGTTAGACCTTATGTGTTGTCAGTGGCTCATTTCTACGCATTCTTTCTCAGGGAAGGGAAATAAACACCCTGTAAGTAAGCCATAAATAATCCATCTTTAGTAAATTCATTTGAATAGACTTCTCTTCATGTTTACTGTATAGTTGCTGTTAATTAATAAAATAAGGTAAATAGCAACATGCATTTTTTCCCTAAGCTTTTAAAAAATTTTCTGTAGAAAGCTACGCCTCTAGAGTGCTTTCTATAGTGTAGTTCCTAGACCATCAGCATCAACATCAGTATCATCTTAGCACTAGTTAGAAATTCAAATTCTCGGACCCCTCAGACATGCTCAATTAGTAATTCTATAGTTGAGGCTCAGTAATCTGAGCTGTACTAAGCTTTCCAGATAACTCTAATGCATATATTAAAGTTTGAGAACTACTGCTATAGTTCATCAATAAATTTTGATTATCTTTAATATTTTTTGACATTTTCATCTTATGGTATCTTTAAAGATACCAAACGCCTTTTAGATTTTATTAGACCATAATATAACGTCTTCCTATCTTTTGTCCTGAACTCAAAGACTTTGGATACCTGTCTTACAACTTCCATCCGTCCATCCATCCAACCACCCACCCATTATGTATAGATCATACATTATATTCTCAGTGCTGTTCTATGTGTTCTGTCAATCAAAGGGGGATTCATAGGTATGGGTTACGTTCTATTTATTAAGCCAGATAGTGAGTAAATTGTTATTTATTTTTAATTTTAATTATTATTATTATTTAGGATAAACAAACCTTAAACTATTCTTTTGTTACCCTTGATAAACTTTATGTTAAATTTTTAAATTTACTTCCACGAGCCATGGCAGTAGTCTCTCAACTTCCTGATTACTTTGCTGGAATGGGATTCAGCCTCATACTTCCCAGCAGTATTAACTAGATCCTGTCACACTTTCTTACACTTGGTACCACTTTTTTCATCTCAGAAAAGTTTGAAAATAATATGATTTCTGGGATAACAAAGGTATTTTAAAACATGATTCTCATTATTTTTATTTTTTCCATTCAGTTTTACAGAGGTAATTAAAATAATTTCTAATAATGTCAGCATAACCTTTAAAGTTTTTCAAAAGGCCTTAGTCAAGTCTCAATGCTACAGCTTTGATATAGTTACCATATTTTTTTCATTAGCTTTGCTCAAGAAGTAGTCTAGCCAACTGAATATAATTTATTTCATACCATTCCTCACCATGCCTAACTCCTGTTGTCACTTAAAACCGTTTTTGGGGGCCAAGGGATTTGAGTCAAGTGGTAAAGAAACCACACACACACACACACATTTCCACACGTTCTTTGTATCTCTGCAAACATTCTGCCAGCCCGAATCCTGCACTGACCCTGTTCCCTCACACTGCTTTAGAAGGCCCATGTGCTGTGTCTGCTGACTTTTGTTTATTTGTTGTTTTGCAGCAAGTCACACAGTACTATTTCACAAACACAGACTGGTCCCTATCTCCCTGCTGCCCACAGTCGTCAACTTGACTGCATGCTAATGCCAGATAATCATGTCCTTGTCTGAACTCTGTATTTTATTTAGTCACCAAACTAGTTCTACTACAATAAACCTACTCAAGAGAAACTTGATTCTAACACACCATTACCAAACTCTCAGAAAAGTAACTTTAAAAATCACTGTGTAGGTTTTTCCAAGGTTGTAAACCAAGTTCCTAATACCTATAATAAATTATTATATTTAATGTTATCAAGGCACAATTTTGTTACTGCCTTGGTTTTATTAGCCGACTTTTTTTTTCATGTCTCAAAGCTGCCTTAAAATACCACCTTTACAGCTTGCAATGAATAAATAAAATTCAGAAAGTGTTTTAGCTTTCTTGTTTACAGTACCTGTCTGTTAACAAGAGCTAAAATGGCCAAAATAGACATTCTAATGCTTTTAGATCTTGAAAAATCTGGCAGGGAATTTATTTCTATTTAAAATTACAAACTAAGTTTAGTAAACAGCATTGTGGTTCTGTGGCGAGAATTAGGGAATTGGTTCAGCCTGGAAGTCTGAACAGCTGAACAGAGGTGCACGCAGAATGGGCTCTGAGACCGCCCTTGGGCAGGAAGGTGCAAACAGGATCAGGACCCTAAAAACAGTATTTACCCCCACACCTGGACTCACTGGCTCTCTGGTTAACGGACTATGAACATACTGAGTCAGTTCTGATTTTCCATTATTGGGTGTATCAAAAGTTTAAAATGTGTGTACGGTTCTATTGCACGCATATACCCCAGTGTGATTTGTCTGTTCTGACGTGAGCGGATATTCAGGCTGCTTCCAGTTCTTGGTTCTGTACAGAGAGTGTTATTATGAACACTTTTTACATGTTACACTTGTGCAAGAATTGTGCTGAGGTGTCTAGAAGTTGAACTGCCAGGATAAAGTTGCATCTTTAAGCTTACTGGGACATGCCAAACTATTTTCCAAAGTGAGTGCATAAATGTTTTCACTTGACATTGATACTGTGTCAAGCTCTGGAAATAATAACACAGCCACTCCATGCCCTTTCTCGTGGTCACTTTTATTGTGTTCAGGTAGTAAGACTGACTTCAGGCCAAATAGCAAATCCATGTATATACAACTCCAACAGTTTCTGTTTCACAGTTGACAATAGAGGTACCATCGTGGGACTGATAAGTTAGGGAAGAAACTATGTGAAGTGATATTCCAAATACATGAAGGAAATATTTATAGCATGTACTAGTCAGGACATATATTTTATATGACAGAAACTTTATAATCTCTAACATGCCTGAGAGGTCTTATATCTAACAAGTGCTTAATCTATTGAAGTGGGTCAATTATTTATTTTAAAAAATAAAACACTTAATCTTTGAAAAAGTCAACGTTTTATTTCTAGTAGGTGATGTGTGCGGTAAGCCCAGAACTTAATGTCAGTACTATCAAGCCTTCAGAGAGAGTTGCCTTTTCTTCCCTATTCCCATCGCATCTGCCTCATAATTTCCCATCTGTTCTCTTTTTTTCCTTTAAACTCTCAGGATTACAGTGGATCCCTGTCACTCCAAATACACACTTTTCTGCATTTTTTCCTGTTTTCCAAAGGCGGTTCATATTCAGTGTAGTTTCCGCTGCTCCCTGAGGGTAACAGCAGCGTGGCCAGGAGAAGGGCCTTCGAGCAGACAGGGACCCTTTCCCCTCCGCCGCCTGCCAGCTGAGCCGGGGGAAGTCACCTCACAGCACCGAGCCCGTTTCCAGTTACTAACTCGGGGGTCATAGGTTAATATGTAAATGTATAAAATGCCTAATAGTTCAGTGCCTCAAAATGAAACTTCTGTGTGCAAGGTAAGAACTGTACTATGCACCTTACACACACTGTCTTTAATCTTTAAGACAGTACTGCAAAAACACGGCAAAGGAGGCCGAGACCCCGGCCCATTGAGGGAGTCGCCCAGGCCCGCCTGTGAAGCGCTGGGTGCAGGTCGGCGGAGCGCACCATCCGCGCTGCCCGTCACCGTCCGTTCTCCGACTCCTTTTCCTCTCTCACACACAGTTTTCGTTTGATCGTTTTGTCGCTGTTTTCATGCAAATAGCATCACTCTTTGAAGGCACAGGCCTCATTGTCTTTTGTTTCTCGGTTCAAATAGAGTGCGCACACCGTCAGCGCGTGGTGCAGGAGCCTGCCTCGCACTTGGTATCGCCCTTGTTGTAACCTCCTGTATCCTTTTTTGTAGCTCGTTCCAGCGGCCACATGGCACTTTCCACGTGGATGATGGCGAATACTGGTCCTCCAGGGCAGGCTCTTACAAAGGGAAATCCCACCGGCCCATCTTCGAGAACAGCATGGACAAGATGTACAGGAACTTATACAAAAAGGCCTGTTCTTCTGTTTCTCATACACAGGAAAGCTTCTGAGACCGCCCACGATAAACTGTATGAGTGCCTGTGCCAACCTCTCAATGAAAACGTTTGATGTGATCAGTATCTGCACTCCTTTCTTACACAGGTGGCTCACTGAGTACACTAGTTAGACCTGAATAGTTGATTACTTCAAACGGTAAATCGTCATCGGCAAGCCTTTTCTATCTCAGAAAAGAGGGCTGTGTTTCATAGGTCACCGCTCTGCCGCCTAGTCACACGGCCCATGTGACTCTGGGGAGCGGGAGGTCAGTGGGCCTCATGTCACGTCTACAAATCCAGGAACAGGTTCTCTCTAAACACCTCCTGCCTTAATCACCTTGTCATTTTCTTTTCAAATACTCAACTGGTTACCTTGTCTGAGTAAGATTTAATTCATATCACTCCCTTTTCTTGGTAATGAGCAAAAAGATATACTATTTAGTATATTTCCCAAGAGTTGAAATCCTGTTTTAACTGGTATTTTCTACTTTTTCCTCCTTAGAAAAGACTATTTGTATTTCTCCACTCACTCCCTCTTCTCTGAAAGAACTTTCTAAGTTGCCTAAAATGCACAACAGTTACCTAGAATAGCAGAGACCATGTTGGACCCAACATGTGAACAACTTATTTTTAAAGGTAGAATTCTTTGCCTGATTCCTTCTAGGGTCTTTGGTGCAAACAGAATCAGAAAATAACCATTGTTAGTAAGCATGTAGACACTCTAAGGGGGGGGAGGGGGGGGCGTCATATTGTAATTTAATCTATTTAAAGCTTTATAGTTACGAAATGGCCCAAGAAAGTGGTATCCTTACTTTAAAGGACACTTGGGACCAAAAAGGGAGTAAAATGTCATAGCGGAACTCTGTAGTGGGCTCAGGAAAGTCTGTTGGTTGATAAAATTAGCTCCTTTCCCGGCCCTGAAACACACCTGTGAGCCCAGTGACATTTTGAAGACAGAAGAAATCAGTGACCTCACATTCCCCAGAGCGTGAGTGGAGGGAACGCAGAGAAGAGGTAAACTTGCTTACAAGCTTGGAGTTGACGCCAAGGTAATGTTTTCTTATTGACTCTGTCCTTGGTTAATTCATAGCTATGATTTAAAAAGGAAAAAAAAATGAACTTGAACTTCATTTAAATTTAAATTAACTTGTAAAAGTGGGTGACTTATTTTTGTATTAGGAGAAAATATAATACTTGCAACCTAATAGGACTTTTTCACTTCAATGTTGTTTTAGCATGGCAGTCTGTGATGTATCAGAAAATGCGTCAGAGGATCCAGGTGTCCTAGGCTCCAGTCCCACCTCTGCCGTTTTGCAGCAGAGTCTTCAATTCTGTGGTCCTTTGTTTCATCAGCTTTCACAGGAAGAGAATGGAATAGATCAGCTTTTCTCAGAACATATTCTGTGGACCACCGTTTCAGGAGGTGGTTGTAGAAATGGAAATACAAGTATTTCTTTGGTCATATTAGTTTAGGAAAATGCATTATATTTTCTCTCCCCCAGCCTACAGTCATAGGCAGGATGAAGGAGTGAAAGGGGAGGCTGTTAATGCTGGATCAGCAGTTGCAAAGTGGGGCTGTCCTGTTGAAACGAGGACACACACGGTCATCCCAGGCACAGCAAACGCTAGCGCAGTAGAGGCGCTAAGAAGTCTCGGCACCAGCCTGTCATGCTCTAGCGTCCAGGAGAGAGTCCTGCACTTGTTGGCGCTCACTAAATATTTACTGAAGTAACCCAGAACTCCGGAGCTTTAAACAAAATGAAGCGTGTGACAGTATCTGTTCGGCCGTCTCTCCGCGCGCCTTCTTTCTCGGCCCCCCACACGCCTCTCACGGTCGTCCTCAGGCCCGCGGGGACCCCAGCTGGGGAGAGGCGGGCTGCTGCCTCTGGCTTCAGGTTATAGAACGATGTTTGTACAACAAGCTTTTGAAGGTCAACATTGAATTAATGCTTTAAAAAAAGCCTGTCCTCAGTGAGACTTAGGTATGTTGTTGTTGTTTTCTGTGTGCGGAAACAAATGAAAAACTTCTCCCTTTAAAAGTTGCTGCTTGTTGAAAAAAACAAATATGAACTTCAAAGAAAATGTTTTGCTATCATAGAAAATCTCCCACGTGAATAAGTACCACAGAAATTATTTATTGTGCCAATATCTGCCATTGGCTCTGACTAAGGCCACAAAAAGGGGTTCTTCAGAAAGTGGTATTCTCTAGGACATGTCCTGTGCCTCTGTGAAGCCCGGTGCAGAGGCTCAGGTATGTAGCATCTTTGCTAAGTGTCCGGTCATTTTCATTCCCTTGGGGAAGGAGTGGTCTTTATTGCTATCCCTAATTATTCCTGTGAATTCTTAGGTTGTATTATCTTTAAAAGGTAAAGCCTTTAAGTACTAATAGTTGTCTTTTCTCCTTGATAGAAGCGAAAGGTGCAGTTTATTCTTTTAGCCATTTTTTCTATATTTTTCACAGTCGTATAGTAGTTATTGGACTTAATATGAAAGATACATGGGCCTTCTTTCTTTTAATGTACTTTTACCTTTAGGTAAGAAAAATTGGTATTTTATAAAAGGAACGTATCAATTCAATAAGAAAAAAATAAATCATTAGACTGAGTCCTTCCTGGTTTCACTACTATTTATATAACCTCGTTAAGTCATTTATTCTTCTTGGAGCTCAGTTTTCTTAACTATAAGTTGATGGAGCTATTTTAGAATGATCTTTAAATGTTTCAGCATTTCTATAATTGTATAATTGATTAATGTGAAAGATCAGGAAGTTCTAGGAAGCAAAGTTATGTTGAACATTTGTGCGCAAGTTTCTGTGAGGAGACAGATATTCAAGAAAGTGCATTTTGCTATATTTCTGTGGATCCCCCCACAAAAGCACTGAACATGAGTTAGGAAGATAAGTCAGGTTCCTGAACTCTAGGGGCTTACCTTCACTATTGATGGAGGGCCAGGGAAATGAAATTATAGTATAATTGGCTTTCCTTATTTCTACTCCATCATATTCTGTGTAGGCTTTTCTACACGGAATATATTTCTTCATTTTTGTATCATCTTTTTAGCCCCAGCACCATGGTCTGGGCCTATCTTTTTTTTTATTTATTATTTTTTTTAAAGAGGGAGAGAGAGATAGAAACATAGATGAGAGAACATTGATCAACTGCCTCCCTAATGTGGGTCGAGCCCACAGCCCAGCCATGTACCCTGACCAGGAGTTAAACCAGAACCTACCTTCTTAGTACATGGGACAACGCTCAATCCACTGAGCCACACTGGCCAGGCTCTGGGCATGTCTTTATTATAGCACTTAACAAAACTGAATTATGAATGACTTTTTCATGTGTCTTTTTCTATTCTAGGTTGTCCCCTGTATTTGTGGCACACTGTAGATGTACAATGTTTGTTGAATAACTGCATGAAAGAAAAAAAATACATGAAGGGCCACTAAAAACAATACAAAGCCTAATTCTATCTGGATATAAGAAATAAGATACCCCACCCTGGACGGGTGGCTCAGTTGGTCAGAGCTTTGTCCCATACACCAAAAGGTTGCAGGTTTGATTCCCAGTCAGGGGCCATACCTGGTCAGGGTACATACGGAAGCCAACCAATCGATGTTTCTCGATGTTTCTCTATCTCTCTCTCTCTCTCTCTCTCTCTCTAATTAATAAAAACATATCCTTAAAGAATATTATTAGAAAGAAAGAAAAAAGAAAGAGAAAGAAAAAGAAGAAAGAAAGAAGAGAAGGTGCCCTGGCAAGACTGTTACTGTCAGCTAGTTTACCTGTACTTGTAACCAAAGAGATAAACATGAAAAAGATAGAGACAAATCGTGGTTGTGCTTTGGTCCTCAGGTTCCTCAGTTGAGAGAATTGGTGTTTCTACAGTGAAATCTATTTTGTAAAAGAAATTAAGTCAATATGGCAACCTGCCTTTCTGTTTGCCCACTGCTTGGCTAACCCACTAAGACAGAAGGCGCTCAGGGGACAGGGCCAGCTCCCATGAGTGCGGGGTCAGACACTAGGCCAGACGCAACTGCCCGCAGTGGCATCCCCACGGAGGCCAAAACCCTGCTGTGAAATGCAATTTCTGGGTTCCCAAGATGAGTCCTAAACATTTTTTCCCTGCTGTCTTATCCTTTGTCACTCACAAAGCAGTGCACTTTTGAGGGGTTGAATTCTTCGTCTTCTAGCATCCAGATACTTAATCAACGTACTTAATATAGAAACGGTGGCTCTCTTGATTAATTAGGAAGTAGTATGATAAATAAGGTATTTACGTGAATATTTAAGCAAAACTGTTTCAATGAAATGCAGTCCTTTTTTTCATTTTTTTTTAAATTTTTTTTTCCATTTCTTGTACAGATAGAGTGGGAGGGAGAGAGAGGAAGGGAGAGAGAGAGAGAGAAACATCGACGTGAAGGGGCACATCGAGTGGCTGCCACCTGCACGACCAACCAGGGCCGGGGACAAACTGCAACCGAGGTACGTGCCCTTAGCGGGAACCGAACCCGGGTCTCTCCGGACCCCAGGCTGACGCTCTAACCGCTGAGCCCAACTGGCCAGGGCCTTTTTTGCATTTTTATTTTAATTGATATCTTAATCTTAGTAGGCTGCGTTCAAGCTATGGAAATTCATGTACGTGAGTCTGATGAAAGAGAGTGTATTTTGCTCTAATGTGTGTAGGACATGAGTGTGTGTGTGTTTTGGTCACTTCCCATCCCCACCTTAGTGTCATCTTTAAAGGTTTTAAAACAGGAGAATTAAAGCAATACTTAGTAAAGACCACCATCTGCACTTGGTGATTTACATGCATTATCTCATTCGATCTTCCCCACAGCTCGGAACTGGTGTAAGTGACCTCAGTGTTAGGACTAGGAGCTGAGATCTACCTGCTGGGCTGACCAGTGACAGGCTTAGGTTTGAATTAACCCCAACTCTGCCTCTCAGCCAGATAAGTGGTTTAAAACTCAGCTTGTTACAGTTTATATGTTTTTTAGTGGAGCCAGTAGCTCTTCAGAGGAAGCCTCGGATCGCAATACAGACTGAACTCACATGAACACAGCGAAAGCTGGGCAGATCCCAGCCATCGCTTGCTAAG